TGTGGAGCCAGAGGTTGGGAGTTTGATTCCCCGCTGTGTCTCCCTGATGGGGGGCTAGACTTGATGATTCATAGGGTCCCCTGCAATTCTAAGATTCTTACCTAAAGTTGTCATCTGTAGAGTATTGATTCACATGTAAGTAAAGCAGTTTATTTTCTGAGCATTAAATGATGGGTGGAAAGTATTTGTTTTTCTAACTTTGGCATATACTATATGTTTGTTCGCCACTATGAGAGTGCACAGGGATTCAACCACGGTGCCATTGCTTAAGATCCAAGTCACAAGAATATAGATTAAAAGTATATACGAGTATATAAATATCTTGCAATCAATATGCTGTAGCACATTTCCCCAGAAAACCAAGGTTTCATGTTGGGGAATCTTTATAGATGAGAATGTCTATGATTCATTTACTTCAAAATGTGTAACTCATTCCTCTGAATGGGATGCTGGGCTTTGACCCCATAATCATGCCCTCATGGGCCCTTTGGCCCTGAAAAGACCCAGGTTCAAACTTTTCCATGAAGTAGTCAGAATGCAATGCAAAATTCCAACTGCTTATTTCTCCCTATTTTCATCTGTACCTTTTCATATCAAGTCATTAAAACTTAGAATTTCAAACTGTGTAGCTTCCCAGTTATACAACATTTACACCTCTTTTAAATATATAGATACTAGCTGGATAGCTACATGAATTAGGTATTTGACTATGGAACCAGAGGTGGGGTTTTATTCCCCACTGTGCATCTCAAGAAAAGAGCCAGCCTGTGTGGCCCTGGGCAAGCTGCACAATCTTAAACTGCCCCCAGATGACTGCTGAGTACTCTATACCTAGAAAACCCTGGAAAGGGTCACTGTAACTCAGACTTGACGACACACTTCTTCTTCTTCTTATTATTATTCTTCTTCTTCTTCTTCTTCAATATATTTTTTTATTTCCCTTATAAGGATAGGGTAAGGTAAGGGTCAACTTGGATAGGGGTACCCTCGGGGTTGTGTGTGGATTTGAACAGATACATTACAAATCAATATTTTTCATAGTAATTCTATACATTCACTTCCAGTAATAGTTCCACATATCAGAAAGAAATACAAACAGTGAGTGAGAGGGAAAGATCAAATTCAGACAGATATATTGTTATTCTAATTATTGATTATGTAGCTGATGCTCTTTATCCATCATTTATTCTGTCTCTTCTGCAGCCACAGAAGAGACAGAATAAATGTATCAGTCAACTATTCTATCTACCTTGTAACCATGTATATAACTATGACCAAATTTTCCGATGGTCTTTTTTCTTTTTTGCATCTAGCCAATCTGATAGTATGTCCATTTCTGTGGTTCTTGGCCTTTTGGCTGAGATCAAGTGTCTTTCTTCTTTTTTTAATTTTATTTTTATTTCTTAAGAAATGAAAAGACAATTCATCATATTACAAATAATAAACACAAAGCTATTCCCCACAATTCTCCAAATCACATTTATACCATTCCCCGTCACATTTTAAAGAAATATCAACCAACAATCTAAATGCTCCAAATTGTTTTCCAAACCATATGTCTCGAAGTTTATTTTGTTGGCATATTTTAATAAAGGCTTCCAATTTTCAGTGAATTGGCTGTGGCTTATTTCTCCTCTATATAATCTAACTTTATTAGTCATTTTTTCTATCAACATTATATGCCATATCTTATTCTTAAATGCTTGTAATGAGAGATCTTGGGCTTTTTTCCAATTTCTAGCGATTTCACATTTTGCGGTGCCTATAAGATTTGCAACTAATTCTTTATTTTCTAGTTTCTCATTTCCCCCTGTGAATAATGAAAATAACAATGTTTCATTGATATCCAATTTTTATTAGTCAGCGTCTCTATCCATCTAATTACTTCGTGCCAGAAAGCTCCTATTTTGGGGCAAGAAATCCACATATGTTCCAAAGTTCCTTTTTGTCCACAGTTCCTCCAACATTTATTGGATATATCTTTATTAATTCTATGTAACTTTGTAGGGTATAGATGCCCCCAATGCACTACCTTCAGAACCATTTCTTTCACATTTGCTGATATAGATTTATATGGGTATTTTTTCCAAATTCCTGTCCAAATTTCCTCAGGTATATTAATATTTAAATTTATTTCCCACACTGTTTTAGATCCTCCACCTTTTCCATATTCTTTCTCAATAATGCTTTTATATATTAGTGAGGTTAGTCCTCTCTTTTTATTTTTATCCTTTTGAATACAATATTGTTCAACTTCAGTTAATGTTCTTAGAGAGCCATTTTTTGTTGTAAGTGAATAGCAAAACTTCTTATTTGTTTTATTTGTAGCCAATTGGTTTTTATTTGCTTTGTTTTCTCTTCTATTTGCCTAATAATGATTGGTTCCCCTGAATCGAATAAGTCAGTAATTCTATATATTCCAATTTGTTTCAAGTGCCTTTCTTCTTAATACATGACTAGAGAGTTTATTACCTTCTAGTCTAGATGGTACTGGATTCTATTTTGCTTTCTCTGTGACAGTTGATCATATAGGCTGGGCCTGATGAGAGCAAAAGCTAGGTTCCTCATTCTTGTATTAAGGTATTAGCAAAGCCTATAGATTTCTTCTAAGTGGCTTTTTCAGTGTGTTTGGTTCCTGCTTGCAGTGGAAGAAAATGCAAGCCCTGTTTTTCCAGAAAGAATGAGGAGTCAAAGTGACCAAGGAGAGTACAGTCAAATGCATCCTCCTTGCTATTAATCCTTTAAAAGAGATAGCCAGTTTCAGCCTGGCAATTTATTGCACCTACCTCCATAGTAGGTGCAATAAATTTCCTTGTAACAAGTCTTAAGCAGTTAACACTCAGGATATCCCAGATGGGTGGGATTTTGTGTTCAGAACTAGATTGCTGAAAGGTAAGAGTGAGTTCATTGTAAGTCTCTATGCAGCTGGTGTCATGCAGTGGGAAACTAAAGGCAATTGCAAAATCTTTTTATTTGAATGCAAATTCTTTTCCTCATTTTTCAAGTAATTCCATTGTTAGTCATAATTTCTGCACTTGTTTGCCTGGTTAATTACAGAGAGAGAGAGAGAAATACTTTTGCAAGCATTCTTAGTTTTGAAAAGGAGGTTTAAAGGAATAGCCAGAGTGGGGAGGCATATCCTAGCCATGAAGAACAGTACAGAAGAAAGCACAAAGCCAGGAGTGAGAAAAAAGCCAGTGTATCAGTGTATCAAGCAGTGGACCTGAGTAGTATGAGAAAAAAGGTAGGTAGAAAATCTTTCAATTAAAGGTAGGTAGAAAGGTAGGTAGAAAATCTTTCAATTAAAGGCTAGAAACGTCTTATGGCCATAAATTTATTTTGCAATGCAGAAGAATTCATTCCTCAATAGTTTCATGAACTGATGACTAGATAATAGCAGCTTCTGAATATGTATTCAGAAGTCTGATTAGCTTATATAGAACTCATTGTTTGACAAATCTAGATGGTGGCGTGCTCCTGTTGCTTGTTTATAATTACCTCTGTCCAAAGATGGTTGCATATCTATTCTCATATGTGCCCAGAGCAGCCTACTCCCTTCCTCTCCCTCCTAGTTCTCTTAGTACATCATCTTGTTTGCTAATATTATGTGGAAATAAATTAATTAAAAAGTGTGGGTGTAAAAGGAAGAGATAGAAACACTCAGCTGTCCATTGCCCTATTGATGTCAGTTCTGAAATTTGTGCAAGATATAATGGCCAAAATCCTGCTGCTTGTAAATAGCGCTAGAGTTGACCCACTGAATCAGTAGGCATGTAGTGTGTCAAATTCTGTGTAATTTCCATTGATTCAAATGGACCTAATCTAGTGTGATTTGCTATGCTAAGCAACAGGCTTTCAGCCACTATTCAGGAAAGAATAGGTAGATAGATAAATAGATGTCCAGTTGAAAAACATCTCTGTCCTGCCTTCCAAAAGGAAATGGATAATTCAAACTTTTAAAAATTATTTTGCTGTATAGACCATGAGCCTCTATATCCATAGACCATCAAAGAAGATATGAATAATAGGGCATGTTATTGTGTGACCCTTCCAGTAAACTCTTTCTCTAGATGGGTTCATCAGGCATCCTCATTATTATCTTCCAGAAACCAAGTAAAGTCTATTTAGCTCAGTGGGTTTTTAATAGCACTTAACAGTACTATCTTAATTGTATTACATTTTATTCGACTATAGCTGTTGTTTTATTTTGTAACTTCTGCTGCCTTGTTTTATGATACTTTTCCTGATACTGTACTTTGAAAGTTGAATTCTAGACTGTGCACTTTTTGAACAAATAAATACATAGGGCATGTTCAAAATTGGAGATGAATGTTTTCTACCTGTACTGTACCTGTGCCAACAGAAGCAGCAGGAAGTGGTTTACAGTTAAAAGATAAACATTAATAATTAATGCTTGAGCAATGCCTGCTGCTGTAACTTCTTATTTATTGGGAGGCAGAAAAAATATGTTGACATCCTGTAGATTAACAATAATACTGAACCCTTTGGCCATCTCAGAAGCTTCAGACAACTCCAGAGGCTCTAGAAATTGAAGTCCAAAACATCTGGAGACCCAATAATTAAGAACTACTGTGGAACATTCTAAAAAAAAAGCAAAGCGTGCTGCTTGTATACCGCCCCATAGTGCTTCAAGCACTGTCTGGGCAGTTTACAAGTTAATTATGCAGGCTACACATTGCCGCCCCCCAGCAAGCTGGGTACTCATTTTACCAACCTCGGAAGGATAGAAGGCTGAGTCAACCTTGAGTCGCTACCTGGGATTGAACCCCAGGTCGTGAGCACAGTTTTGGCTGCAGTACAGCAGTTTAACCACTGCGCCATGAGGCGCACATTCTGTGGGTTTTATTTGTAGCAGAGCTGTGGAACTCTTATTAGCTCCTGGTTGTTTTATGTTCTGTCTGCTATTAAACCAAAGGAGAAGTTGTAGAACTACTGTAGAATGTTTTGCTTGGTGATTTGCTACCTGTGACACTCTAGACTAAGAATGGGAAAAACACTTCTCTCTGGATCAGCCATTCTTAATGGGGACCATATGGTCCCCTGGGAGGCCCTGTCACATTTGCAGAAAGGGCCACAGACTGGAAACAATTCTTCCCACATCACCTTATAATGTCCATTATGTGACTTATACAATCCTGATTCAGCCTGTACAGTGGTGCCCTGCATAGTGAGCGCCTCAGTTAACGACGAATCCACATAGCGATGAGTTTTTTTCAATTGCAAAAGCGATCGCATTGCGATGTTCTCAATGGCTAAAAATCACTTTGCGATGATCGGTAAGCGTTTCGCTTACTGATTTTCGCATAGCGATGTTTTGGGAACAGCTGATCCGTGGTTCCAAAATGGGCGCCGGGAAAAAATGGCTGCCCGCAGCGTTTTCGTGCCCTTTACTCGCTTACCGGGCAGCGAAAATGGCGGCCGCATGGAGGATTTCCACATAGTGGTGAGTTTACAGCTCATAGGAACGCATTAAACGTGTTTTAATGCGTTCCTATGGGGTTTTTTGCCCCGCATAGCGACGAATCCGGATAGCGATGATTGTTTTGGAACGGATTATCGTCGCTATGCGGGGCACCACTGTATTTCTTATTGTGTTTATGGCTGGTGGGGGAGGTTGAGAATGGTGGCTCTAGATGAACATTTGTAATTCCCATCAGCTATAGGCATTATAGCCAGTGGAGAAGACTGTTGGAAGTTTCAGTTCAGCACATCTATAAAGTGATACGCTGCTCTCAATCACCTCCCATATTTGAGTTACCACTGAAGCAGGTTGTGGTGGTTGTGGAATAGTGTTACCACAGCCTTAGGATCCCTCCTTGGAGACCTTTTCTTTTTAGGCCCTTAAAGAGGTATGCACTTACAGATTATTAGTTTTACTGCATAGGTGTGTGTAGGCATCCTTCAGTCTCGAGAAACTATGGTAACGTGCTCTGAATAGAGCTCTTGGAACAGCATCTAGTGTGGCTGAGAAGGCCAATTCGAGAGTGGCAGTCCCTTCCACACTGATTATAATTCAGTGTGGAATATAATTTTACTGCACATAATTATGATAAATGCTCACCTATAGTCAACATAATCCTTCTGTTATTCCTTTGTAGAAGCCATCCTGATGTCCACAAATTCAGTGTCGAGACTGTTCAGTGGTACCCTCATGACACTGGCATGTTTACATCAAGCTCATTTGACAAAACACTGAAGATATGGGACACAAATACGTTACAAGTGAGTCAAATTTAGTAGTTGTTATTCACCTCACATGAAATTCTGGGCATTTTAACAGCTGAAGTGTTTGCTTTAAGGAAGTTATAGCATTCCAGCACACCCTTGGTTTTGCAAGGGGTTGGTGAGTATTTGCAGGATTGCTTGGGCAACAAGCATGGCAGGATCAAGCCTAACAGGCATCAGACTGTACGAATAGATGCCAAGACGGGTCCATACTGTGGGAAAGGAAACCTAGTAGGAAAGGGGAATTTTAAGGTCCATCGAGCCAATAAGTTGACTTGTTAATAGAGAGTGATGATACATAAGGCTCTGGGATTCCAAATGATAATTTCATTTGTTACCTTTTTAGATTTCCTACTGCTTTTTCTGTATGTTTTGTGGTTTTATATGCTTTAATACAGGTTACTCTCTTTGAAAAATTTCTATGCTTCCTTTGTAATACCTTCTACATATTCTGTTTTAGCAGGATGAGATAATATTTGCAAGAGAACTGTCATTTTAGTCCCCAAATTCTTGATATGATTTGGATTTCGGCCAGATACTTAACAGATGTATTGTCTTTCATTCTACAGTCTGTGGAAGTGTTTACGTTTGAGGGAACTGTGTACAGTCACCACATGTCTCCTATTGCTACCAGGCACTGCTTAATTGCAGGTTTGTATGCAATTGAAGACCCTTCTTTTGGAGATAATAATTATTTTAAAATGTCATCTTTTTTGGGGACCAGAGTAAACAGCTTATGTGTTCTCAAGGGTACATTACAATTGGATCTGTTGTTGGCATTCCTGCTTGGATATAATTAACATGACCTGAACATATTTGTGGTCAACTTCTGTGTAGCTTATAACCATTGGTCACTGCAAACCAATTGCATTTAAGCAAAGGATATCATACAGTAGGGCTACATATGTGGTACGGAAACAACAAATAGCCTTAAAGATTTTATTTTGCCAGAGTTTTCATAGACTATAGCCTACTTATTCACATGTATGTTCTTAATATTCCAAGGTTAATTTATGTCTTTTGCAGTGAGGGAATAAGCTCCACTGAAGACAGTAGGACATATTTCTGATTAACATCCGTAACACTGTGCTATTAGAGCATGCGTCCAGATGAAAGATGATGCCTAGATATTGTTATTATGCCTGCAACTATCCATTCTGTTTGGAAAGTGCAGGTAGTAAGCATCAAGTCTCTCCTGAATCCATTTGGGGGAAGCAAGTTCAGCCGTCTTGGACTCCTCCTTCTCTCCACTTTCCAGATACCTCCTCTTTCCCCAGCATGCTTTTAAAGGGCTTCATAAAAGTCCATACACCACGTGTGGAACGTCAGATTCTGGAGCCAGACTGGGTCCATCAGAGGTCTTGATCTCTCGTTCCCCAAATGCCATTGTGGGGAAATTCCCAGGTTTTTTTGCATTTTCTCCTGTCTAAAACAATGAAATGCCTCCCCTAATGGTTAGTCATTGGTAGTAAGAGTTCAAAGCTAGAATATGCTACAATGTTTGACAACCATAGAATTTTATTTCTTGCAGTTGTAGATCATTGTGAAGTATGACTGTATATATAACAAATCACATATGAGTAAAGTTGCATGAAATTTTAAACATTTTTTAAAAATACAGCTAAACATTATAAAAGTTTTAGAAAATAGCTGTTACCTACAGTTATGAAGCCATTCATCTAAAAGGCAAATGTTAACTGTTCCAAAGGCTTAGCATGTATTTTCAATGCATTTTGGGCAATTAAGTTACATCTAAGTTAGAACAACCCTAGTGGAGCTTTCAAGGTAAATGAAATATTTAAGGAGTGGTGTTTTTATTGCCAACCCTCCCACCTGTGAGTTTCCATGACTGAGCAGGAATCTGAACCCAGGTCTCCTAAGTCCTACTCTGTCACTCTGGCCACTATACTACACTGGGTGTTAAGAGTAAAGGAAAATAAAATGCTCACTTTGCTTGTAACAGGTAGCCTAACACTAAAACACATTGGAGTGTCTTTGTACTTTTTTTCATTTTTTCATCTTGTTTATCTTACTGGTGTTTTGGGGTCCATCCTTTTCCTCCACTCACCCCTGAAATGCCCCTTCCCCAGACTTCTCTGACATTAAATTTACCCTTCAGGCTGAAGAACATTCCTCACCCTTCCCCATGTGATTAAGCAAACAAAGAAACCATTAGTGATATAACATAGCTATTAAGTAAATATACAGTATATATTTCATGTTTCTTGTGGCATACACAATGTACTGTGTAAATATGATTTATTGATCTTCAGCAATCAGTATTTCAGATTCAGCAATATTAAAAAATAGAAATAATGTCCAAGATCATGAGTGGCTCAGATGTATTAAATAGGCATGTAAGATTGGTTGCAAGCATGGAACAGAATTTATTTTATACAGTACATGGTTAACTTCTCTCTGTACATCCAAATGTTTCCTTTGTTCAGTGTATCTTTTGGTTAATTTATATGGAATACAGTGGTGCCTCGCTTAATGACGTTAATTTGTTCCAACGAAATCGCTGTAGAGGAAAAACGTAAAGCAAAATTGAAACGCATTAAAACCCGGTTAATGCATTCCAATGGGCTAAAAACTCACCGTACAGTGAAGATCCTCCATACAGCGGCCATTTTCGGTGCCTGTATAGCGAGGAATCCGTCCCTAAGCACAGCGGGGAGCCATTTTGAGCACCCGGTGGCCATTGTGAAAACCCGACGATCAGCTGTTTTGATCGTCATAATGCGAAGAATTGGTTCCCAAAGCAGAGAACTGATCTTCGCAAAGCAAAAAAATACCTATTTAGACCATCATTTTGCAATCACAATTGCGATCGCAAAAACATCATCGTGAAGCAGATTCGTCATAATGCAGGGTAATCGTTAAGGGGGCATGACTGTATTTTTAAAACTCTTTTTTTCTTGGAAGATAGAAAATCTAATAATTAGCAAAACATTTTGGGAATGTAAGAATGTGTAATGTATCTTTTCGTGATGCACTTATTTAAAAGCCCCAGAGATGTAATAAAAATAGCAAAAGTTGTAACTTGTTTTATAGGCTATTAAAAATAATGATAATTTCAATGTGTCTCTTTGCCTTCATGAGTTTTTTTTTCTGTTACAGTTGGTACCAGAAACCCCAAAGTACAGCTTTGCGACTTGAAGTCTGGATCTTGCTCTCACATTTTGCAGGGTATTTCTTAGTCTAAAACATGAATGTTAGACAATAACTACATTGAATAAACTGTACTGTGTACAGAACTGTTTTGAACAATATGTTCTTTGTAAATAACATGGCAGAAGTGTTTTGTGGCAGTTTTCAAAACAGCAATGAGTAAGACCTCTTCCATATATTATTCTGGCATTGTATATTTTAAGAAATATAATTCTCTTTATGAAAAATATTGATGCTTACTGAAGCAACTATTTCTTTTTAAGTTTTATATTCTTAAAATATAAAATCACCAGTTTTCTAAGAACATTCAAGAAAATTAGTTTTCTGAAATCAGCATATTGTCTAAGTTTGCCTTCCCAAACTTGGTGCCCTCCCTGTTTGACACTAGTGACCATGTGCAGATGGCCATTTTTAACTCAGGGACTAATTGACCAGCTGGGAGAAGAGACAGAGTGCATAGAGATCCACACAGTACAGAAGTTAGCCAGGAGATGTGAGATGAGGGAGAAGACTGAAGTGGAGATATGGTGATAGAGAGAGGAAAAAGTGATGAATGGAGAGAGAGGAGAGGCCAGCTGACAACAAGAGAATAACAGGTAGAGGGAGGTGTGCTGGGAAGGAAACAAAATGTCAGCCATGGGATACTGATAGGGTGATCCATCACATGCATATCTTGGGCTCCCCTTTTCATTTGCAGAGCCAGGAGTCTGTCCCTGGTGGGAACTAGGAGGCCAAGCCCAAATCTAGCTGTCCTCACAGAGATGGTGAGCATAATGAAAGATTGCAACCCATGTCCACCAGGGAAACACAAAGGTCAGACTGCAATAGGTAAACTCATCTAATAGAGACTACTTGAATCCATGGAATTTATATAATAGTGCCGGCTCACTATTCAGCTGTTGATTGAGCACTGCTGTTCTAGCTGGGATTATGACTATTTGTACTACGGCTAAAATAAAGAATCAGGAGGAGGCAAAAGGCTCCAAGACACTGTGGTAGCTAGTGATGTATCGATTGTAGTTCAACACCTCAGACAACACCAGTATGGGAGAGGTTATCCCACTGAGCTGTAACTAATCTAGTTTTTGAAACTAATGAAATAAGGTGCAGTATCACAGAATACATATAATGGGGAGGAGAGGTATGAAAGCTTTACAATATACACAGTTGGACATTTCATATGTAATGATTTCTATACCATGGGTAGGCTTTCAGTTTTCCTTTTCTGTCTCTTCTTCCTGTCGATACTATTCATAGCTTAAGCAAGCAAAAAAAAAAGGTGTTTCTTTACACTATTACTGTTATTAATATGTTGTATAAAATTGTAAACCATGGGTGTGCTCAGATGTATCATACTGTAGCATCTAAAATTTAGTGCATACTATGCCCTGTTGGAAGAGCTAAAAAAGCAAGCTACTATTCTCTGATATACTTTAAATAGTTGTTGTGGGTTTTTGGGCTCTTTGGCCATGTTCTGAAGGTTGTTCTTTCTAACGTTTCTCCAGTCTCTGTGGCCGGCACCTTCAAAGGACAGGAGTAGTATTCTGTGCTCTGGTGCAGTTTGTTCAGGAGTTGAGTATTTATAGCTGTGGGATCAGCTTTTGTCCTTTTCAGGAGATGGGTGATTATGGTGATCAGTTGTCTTTGTTGTGGGTGTATTGTTGCGATAAAGAGGAGAGATTATCTGTCACTGTGATTGATGGGTTTCATTAGCTGCTCTTTTTTGTGTAGTGATCACCGGTCCTTGTGGCTGGGTAGTGTTCGTTGACCTTTTGCAGGCTGTATTTTTCAGTGCTGGGAGCCAAGCTTTGTTGGGTTTTTAACCTTCTTTTTGTTGAAGCTCTGCTGGTGTTTGTGGATTTCAATGGCTTCCCTGTACAGTCTAACATAATGATTGCTGGTGTTGTCCAGCATTTCAGTATTTTGAAATAGAATTTCATGTCCAGCTTGTTTTCGGGCATGTTCAGCTACTGCTGATTTTTCCGGTTGTTATAGTCTGCAGTGTCTCTCATGTGCTTTGATTCTGGTGTGGATGCTTCATTTTGTGGTTCCAATATATACCTGGCCACAACTTTAAATACATCCCTGCTTCAGTGTCATATGAACTCTGAAAATGAGGAAACTTTTGATTCTTTGATGTATATCTGCAGCTTGTAGGTGACAACTCAGAACTCTGCCATTTCTTTTCACTGCATCAATAGATTAAATTATTCAAGGCGGAAAATAAGCATTTGTTTTAAAACACAAAGTTATGGCTGAATGAATACCCCATAAAAGGAAGAAATACAGACCACAGATCTATTCTCCCTCTTCACTCAGAATGTAGGCATATTGTTTCACTCATCATCATCATCATTCCATTCCATATAAAGCATGTCAATGGTGATGTGAAATAAGTGAAGTAAAACACAGGCTTTGATATTGTCAGTATCTTCGGACTGCAGATTACAGAACTGTCCTATCCACAGTTACGTAATCGTTTGAAGTCCAAATGAATTGAACTCTGTATTTGGAAGAATGGAATCTTGTAGAGTTTAGTGAGCTTCATTCTTGGTAAGCAGATATACTTTCTTTTCAGAAAAACAAAAAGTGTTCACCTCTTGTTTCCTTGGGGTAGAAGGTAAGATACAAGGAAGGATACGTATCAGTGTGCCCATATTTTGAGCGAGAATACAAGGTTGCTTTGTAGTCTGACTTATTTGGTTTTAGAAAGGCATAGGTTCAAAGACAACTTTTTGCTTTAAATGGAATGAGATTCCCACCCACCTCTTTGGAGAATTTTTCTACTTTTAGAAAAACTGGAACACAGAGATATCAGTGTTGGAAATGAAAGACCAACTTTACTGAACAACAGTGTGAGCTGAGGGGTTTGGTTTGGTTTTGGTGGTACAAAGCACATTAATGTTCTCTAAGCTGTCAGATGAAGGCATTAAGTAGTTAACAGCAATATAGTATCATGGACTAACCATACAAAGCAGTCAAAATCCTCTCAATAACTTCTGGATATACGAGGAAACCACACACAATCACAGAGGAAATGCTATTTGAGCATGTCTCTTAAAATCACACTTCCTGTATTCAACAAAATGATATTCATAAATTCTGTGCATCCCCCCATACTGTGCTCCTAGGAAGCATGTTTCAGAATCAGACATTGTCTATGTGATCAGGTTTGTCTTCTAAAGTAGGCAGTTCCCTTTTTTGTACATGAGTGACAACAGGAGATGGAATATCTTTAACCAAATATTTAGAATCTTGAGAAGGGGAGGGGTGTATTGCAACTTCAGTGGGTTTAACAGGACTATTAAATATTGGCAAATGGTTCCACATAGCATCAGAATCATTCTGTATAACAGTTTATCTTAACGCAGCGCCATCCCAAATCTCTCCCGATCGGTTGGTTTCCTTAAAGGGGTGCTCCAAACCACGCAGATGGTCCCACAGCATAAGTGTCTTGCCCAGTCCCCTTCGCATTGGGTCATGCCAGTGGGAATAGGTTCCGGACACACCACCTTCTTCCCCCTTGGGTAGACATATATTGTCCATTCCCATGGGTCCAAATCTCCCAAATGCACTTCTATCCCTGCTGGAGCCCATCCCAGTATAGGTTTTCACCCTTCTCGAAACCTTTCTCCTCTCTCTTTGTTACATCAAAAACGTAAGGATTTTCCTTGCTCTTTTGTTCTTCTCTCTCTTCTTCACCTCTTCCTCCTCTACCACCGCCAAACTTGCTAACGTACCCCAACTCCTTTCTATTCCCGCCTTTTCCTCCCACTCCTCCATTACTAGCAGACCTACCATTGGTTGTTCTACTCCCACCCTTTTCTTTTCCTCTTTTTCCATTATCTTAACCTCCCCCAAAGTCATCTTTTGAACCATAGCCTGTACAGTATCCAGCATTTTGTTGTTTCCTTCCTCCTGAGACGATGGAGGGAACGGCTTACTCTCAGACTTAACCTCTGTAATCAATTTTTTCACAGACCATCAAAAATTAGTCCTAGTCAAGGGGCAGGTTGGTTTATTAAAAAGTCACAGTAGTCATATCTTAATTGTTTTTGTGCATAGTTCTCCCCAGAGGGAGGGAGACCACAGCTGTGATACAAGGATATCTGCAAGCTGGATCTGAAGGCCTTAGGAATGGACCTCAACAGATGGGAAACCTTGACATCTGAGCAGTCAGCCTGGAGGCAGGCAGTGCAGCATGGCCTCTCCCAATTTGAAGAGGCACTTGTTCAGCAGGCCAAGGCAAAGAGGCAGTCCCCAAACCAGCAAAATCAGGGAGCTGGACAGGGGACAGATTGTATTTGTCTTCAGTGTGGAAGGGATTGCCACTCTCAAATTGGCCTTCACAGCCACACTAGAAGCTGTTCCAAGTCCTCTATAGAGAGCACGTTACCATAGTCTCTCGAGACTGAAGGATGCTTAACTAACACCTGGAGAAAAGGCATGAGAATTCAAAAGGCAGAATTGAGTTGAAAAATCCAGTCCTGCCTCTCAATATTTCCAAATGTTGCCAAAAAGGAAGATGCACAGTCTCTACTGTTCGTTTCTATGGAATATGGCTTGGAAACCTTCAATTGACCATAACTATTTAGTTGTTAGAGCCACTATATACTCATATATTCTCTCCCTTCTGGACCAGCAGTGTTTGGTTTCCAATCTTAATTATGTCATTTTATTTTTGATATTTATTTTATGGAGAATATCCATGTTAGTGGATGCCCATTGAGATCTAGTGGACGGAATGGTGGACTGGAACTCAGGAAGCCTGGGTTTGAGTCCCTACTCAGCCATGGACACTCACTGGGGTGTGTGGAACTGGCAAAGCCACTCCTTAAATATCTCACTAACCTTGAAAGCCCTATTAGGGTCGCTATAACAATAAACTCATGTGAGTCTGTTGCAGCCAAAACAACAAAGAATCTTATGGCACCTTAAAGACTAATAGGTACATTTTGGTTTCAACTTTGTGTACTGCAGCACTTGGCATCTTATGAAACCTGCTGCAGTCTGTGCAAGCATATGCCAAATAAACCCTTTTAGTCCTTAAGGCGCCACAAGGATCTTTGTTTAAAAATATGTATCATATAAATAGCAAATGCCCTTAGAACAGTTTCCTAACAATGGCCGTTTAATACAATAACCACCAAAACAAATGCCTGCAGATTCCAGTAGTGAAACAGTAAAATATTAATTACTGGTAGCTTCCAGTATTGAAATGTTAAAATATTAATTTGTTAAAAGCCAGCAACAAAACGTATAATAAGAGGAAAACATTAAGGGTTTGCATTTAGAAGTGAGAAGCTGTAGGGAGTCTCACTCTGCTTCACCTCATGTGTTCATTACGTATTTGAGCAAAATAGTTACACCCCTGGGATTGCATAGTTTTCTGATTTACCCCCCAAAATATTTTATGTCAGATATCTATTCTGTGGAATGCCTTTAGCTCCCATATAACTCAAGTTACTTATTTTGTCGGACGCTGAAAAATCATTTGTATGATTTCTACCCTGACAAGATGACATTTTGCTGCTTTTTAAGTGACAGGCACTGTCACTTAATGGCCCTTCTTTTAAAGATACCTTCCTCTTAAAATGTCTGTACAAAAATGTACAGAGTAAGGTATGCAAGAGAAGAACATTCACAAAAGATAAGGGAATTGAGGAACTGATCCTAGATTGTTTTCTGCTAATGTCTGTGGAACAAAAATAGTTTTAAGCGGTTGATGGATTGTGTTTACTTTGGAATATTTATGAGGGATTCATTGGAATATTATTAAAACTACAGTACTATTGAGTAACTTATTTTAAAATTAAAAGATCTTACATTCATCACTATATGAATATTATAACAAATGGCATTAGTAATCGAACAGTCCATTTAATGTGAGGTGGGGAACTTGTCATCTGCCAGGACTTGTGTCTGGTTTTCTTATTAAGATGTCACAATTTTTCATGGTGGTGTAGCGCCTGAACATAGTGGAACCCCACAGGGTTCATCAGGGGCCCATTTCTTCCCCTGTCCCTGGAGTACATGCATGGATATGTGGATAAGTACAGCATGGCAATCCAAAAAATGGAAGACATCCCCTTTATTCTTATCCAAACATTTCCTGCTCCACTTAGTGACCTAGGAGGGGGGATTCCCTGTGGAAACAAAGTTGCGTGCTCAGGTCTTTCATTTGTCAAAATATTCTCCTGGTTCACTGTAGAGACACTGAGAGATGACTGGGGCTCTGTTATAGCCCCTTGTGGGGAAGAGATGCTAAAATTGTTGGCAAATAATTAATCACTTGCAATATATAAGAATTTTTATTTCATATTTTAGGTCACAAACAGGAAGTTCTAGCTGTTTCTTGGTCACCCCGTTATGAATATATTTTAGCAACTGCAAGGTAAACAATAAAGAACCAAGAGAAAATACCAACTGATTTTTTTTAATGGCACATTTCTTTGTAATTATATTCTTAAGTAGTAGTATGGGGAGTTTCTCTTAGCTTATGTTTGGTGTGTCTTTGCAACAGAATGTCAAACAAGGTAAGTTTTTGTTTGAATGGGAAGTGCAAAATTTATACAGTCACAAGGCAAAAATATGAGATAATTAAATGTTCAGGTTGTTATAAAAATGCCCACTAGGCTGTAAATTTAGTGGCTTAAAATATGATCACTTAGTAATTATGGTAAGGGAATGGATTATGAATTTAATTCAAAATTATCTTTTGAGATAAACATGTTATTGAATGTTCATACTTACAAAATAGACACAGACAGTGCATGAACATGGGACCAAAGTTAGTATTTTTCAATAGAAGATTCATTAGTACTATCCCAAGAGGATAAAATATGTTGATTTCACAATCCAGCTTAATTTCTGTCATTAATCACTATGTACTGTGTAGATTTTTCATAAAATTGATTTGTGTGTAGCTAAATAAATAGTTAGCATGTTGTTATATAATCAGACATTGGATTAACATGTGTGCCATTAGAAGGAGTAAGGCCAATGCTTACAAATAAAAAAACCCTTTGTGCAAAATCTGCCTGTCAGCTACCTTGATGGTTTGTTTCTAGGCAGCAGGTAAAAAGAAGGTTTATTTGCTGAGGCAGAGGGACAGTTGTAAGGCAACAGGAAAAAAGGAAGACTAAATATAAGATGGATTGATTCAGTGAAGGAAGCCATAGCCTTGAGTTTGCTGAACCCGAGGAGCGCTGTTGATTATAGGAATTCTAATCCATAGGACCACCATTAGTTAGTAGCCACTTGGTTGGACATAACAGCAATAGAGGATTTATTTAATTTCATTTCTTGCTGTTGTCATTACTGTTATTACTATTTTCCAATTTAACTTGTTCTTATGCTTTTTTAAAAGTTGATGGGCGCAGTTTCCTGGGTTTTAATAATGGTTGTTTCATTTGTATGTTTACTTTTTTAAAGCCGCCTAGAGTGGTCGTAACTGACCAGATAGGAGGGATATAAATAGAATAAATAAATAAATAAAATTTAAAAATTATTGTTACGTCACCTTGAGGACTAAGATGGGATTATGAAATTGATAAGGCCTTCTTGTAGAAAGTAATTCTTGTTACTGCTGAAAGTAGAGAGAGATTTGCATGCATCCACACGCATGTTCCATTTTCCCTGTTAAGACTGAAATGCATCACACAGGTGCTCAGAATTGGCCGATAACATGTGAGAACTTTGAGAAGCCTTCATTACACATAGGCTTGTCAGAAACTCTCTTCACATTTATGAAAAACAGTAATTTGTTCAACTAAAAATAAGTGAATAAAGAAGCCTAATTGTCATATATGCATTGAGAAAAAACAATTTAACCACACTCAGATTGGCAGAAAAATTCTGAAACAAATTAAGTACATCAATTTGTCCTTGTAAGGGAGTGATGTGTTGAAACAATCTCCTGCCTATGTATTAATAATATGTTGTCTTTGTTATTTTCTTTTTAGTGCCGATAGTAGAGTCAAATTATGGGATGTCAGGAGAGCCTCAGCTTGTCTGCTTACTCTTGACCAACATAATGGAGAAAAATCAAAAGCATCTTCTGAAGCAGGTAACTGGTTTACTTAGACAAATCATCTTATATCATTGTGATAGGATTAGTGGTAAATATTTTCATATCAAAGGGAAACTTTATTACCCAGCCCAGAATAAATCAACAATCAGAATTGCGTTAACAGTGGAACAACAGTTTATGAAAGGCATCATAGCCCTTAGCCTAATTTCATGTGTCCTTCCACCTCATTTGGAAAACATTCTGCACATGTTCAATTCAAATTTCTGTCAAAAGTATTTTAACCCCTTTTCTCAATGCAGATTGTGGAAATGGGGAGAAAACATGGAGTAAGAGGGAGGTGAGAAAGCATGGTTCACCATTACAGATCAGTATGAATCAAGCTTTTGTGGTTAAGCCCTGTTTGGCGCATAGCCTGCACAGTGTTCTGCGGGGACCATGCCTTCCGCCCCTCACCTCCTTTGCTCATTCACTCACTCAATGAGTTGCAGCACATGTCCCTCCCCTACCGCCTCTGGAAGCCAGCCACTCACCTGCAGCAGCACATGCCTCTCTCCTCCACCTTTTCTGACAGCCGCCCACTGAGACGAGGAGGTGAGGCAGGGAAGCCTCTGAATGGGCAGCCACCAGAGGAGACGGAGGAGGGTGCCGGTGAGTTGCTGGCCACTGGAGGTGGTTTGCTGCCACCTGTGAGTGGGCAAATATGGAAGGGAGGGAAGTGTGTCCATGGAACACCTATGGAGGCACCGTGTCAAAATGGCCATGGTTTGTGCCCATCTCTCTTCACCACTTTTGGCACTAACTCAACTAATCACTTTGACAGATTATATATAAAGAAGATTGTGTCACTTTTGACAGAACACATAGTTAGAAAAGCAATTTCAAACAACAGATGATGCTGATGGTACAAGAATACTTCCATTTCAGGTTACAAATACTGTGCATTGTTCTTATTGCCATATCATTAAAAGGATATTATAGATCTCAAATAGATGTTAGAAATGATAACTATAATGGAATCGTTTGTTTTGTAAATAAAGAAACAAAGAGAAAAATTCCATGTAATGGGAGAAATTCTAGGAATTGATATATTATTTGTGATGTGGAAAAAGTGAATGGGGGGTGGGGGAAATCAGCCTTTTCCATAATTCTGAAACCCAGTATTATTGAAAGAAGCAGAATGGTGAGAGTTTCCATATAGGCTATATAAAAGTCCTGGTTAACTGCACACTATGTGATTTTTATATATTCCGGCAAGAATTAAAAACTTGTGTAGAAATTCATGTCATGTAATTCAGATATTCATTTGCTGGCCTAGAGACTAGAGTCATCTTCCATAGCACTGCATTTAAGTCTTTGGTCATAGCCTTGTCATCACTTCTTGGCTTCTTAATGCTGAGATCAAGTGTGAGGTCATAGCCTTGTCAACACACATTGCTATACAAATGGGTAGAGGTTTCTGTCATCCCTTCTCCCAGGACTGCAGTTTTGCACAATATACGAATGAAATGTTGCTATATTGAGTTTAGCAGTATTGAACTCTTTATGAACTAGATTTTTTTGTATTTTCTTGACAGTAAATACTGCCCATAATGGAAGAGTTAATGGCTTATGCTTTACAAATGATGGTCTTCACCTTCTGACCATTGGTACAGATGATCGCATGAGACTCTGGAACAGTTCTAGTGGAGAGAACACATTGGTAAGATGACGATTTTGATGCTTCATTTGCATGTGGAACATACACATATGTACTCTTTCTTCTTTGTTGTGGCCTATGGCCAGTGCAGAATAAAATTCAGATTGAAAACTGCTGAGGTAATGCTTATAAGTTATTAGATTGCTGAATTTATACTTGCAAAACATGTCTTAAACTGATTACCCACTATCCTTTATGTCATTGTGCCAGCAGCTGCATATATTCAGAGTTAGCACATGGATGGTTTTGAGACAGTGGATTTTGGTTGAAGGCAACCTCCTTAGATTCATGGTTCTCCTGTAAAGTCAACATCTTTCTGAAGGCAGCATTTTGAGAGTTCACCTTTGTCCCTCCTTTCGAAACTTATCAGGCAATTAATTTCTAGTTCATACAGGAAGATTTAAATAGCATTGATGTTACAGAGCTAATTATTTTAATATAATGTAATAACTGATATAAGGGTGACTTTGTATTGAAGCCTTATTATTATAGAATGCTTTACGAGATCATAAAAGCTTAAACTGTGTGCAGAGAATATAGGAACGAGGATGTGGGGAAGTAAATAGGGAAGGAACAGAGGAAATACTATGTTTGTTTTTGATGATGGTTTGTTATTGAAACAAATTAATTAATTTTCCAAGAAGCCTGTGGCGTAAATCCAGCAGAGAATTAGACATACTTGAGTTCATGCAATTCAGTGTACTTAAACAGGAGTAATTCTTTATGTAATTTGGTACATACTGTTTTAATTTAAGAAATGCAACACCCATCTCATGCTATAAGAGTCTCCCTCTGCAGTCCCTTCTGAATATTTACCGTATTTTTCGCTCCATAAGACGCACCTCTCCATAAGACGCAC